CACACACACACACACACACACACACACACACACACACACTGGTACTTCGGCTCACGAATGCTTCTGTTCGAGAACAGGAAGTTTGGCAAAATTTTGCCTCCGTTTGCTAACTCCGCTGCGGGTGACTAACACAATCGCAGCCATTTTCCCTGCTCTGACGCATGGTCATGGATTCCTCTAGTCGAGATCGCGGTGTGATCACAGTTTGATTCAGTTCATGACCAAATCGGTTCGCGACCAGAATCGCGGAACAAATTAAGTTCGTGAGCCGAGGTACTAGTGTGTGTATATGTATATATATATATTTCCCTAGAGTTCAGATGTTTTTTCAGAAGCTGACAAATATACTTACATGAATTGTGTTTTTGTTAATCGTGTTCATGTTTAAAAGCTTCCAGATGTAATAATGCAATGAAAGTGAAAGAACAATGTTCTAAATAATGAAGCGGAATATGTTTAATGAAAAGTATTAGACTTTAAATGCTGGTGTAATTCACTGATGAGTGCTAATGGCATGGATGGATGTCTGCTGTCTGGAGGGTGCTTTATAATGCACATACAAACAATGATAATTGTGTCTGATCAATTATGTCTGAACATCTTTTAGAATCACATTTATGGTACTTATATCTAATAACCTTGTAAATAGACATGTACTAGAATAAAAACTAGAGCTCCAGGCAGATACAACAACATAGACTAGGAGAGGGAAGGCAGCATTTGAGACCAATAGAGAACACTTGCAAGGCTATTCACAAAAGGGTGAAGAGTTTGGAGGAGGCAGAAGAAGTGAACAATCTAGGACAACATAGCTGAACTGGAAAGTGAGCTGAATTGGAGAATTTTTCCAAATCAGCTGTTTTGGCCTAGATTGTTCCCTTTTCCTGCCTTCTCCAAACTCTTCACCTTTTTGTGAATAACCCTGTTGGTGTGCTACATATATGTTGGCTGACCAAGAACCTGGTGATGTAGAGCAGCCGTCCTTAAATGGCAGACTGCGGTACGGGCACGGACTGAGTAGTCGTTCTGTCCAGACTGTGATTCGGAACGCTGCTCAATGAACATTGTACTCACCAGACCTCCTTGAATTTTAATTCACTGCCCGTGATGTAGAGGTATCACTTGGTTTGACGGAAACCTTTGCTGAGAAACTTTGGAGGCAACCATTGCTGTGCGTCTTCTGAAAATGCTACAGAATGCTAAATATACAGATGAGTTCTGACTTTCTAATATGTATGCCTGTTCCAGGTCAGTGACTCAGACGCCAGTGACAGTAAGGCATCAAGTATTTTCCAAGGTTGTCATCAGTGGCAGCCTCTGTATTTTCCTCACGTCAAGTTTCCTTTATTCTGGTATTGTGAATGATTCTAGTGAAGCTTTTCTGACTTTATTATAACTAGCTGGGACAGACTTTAATGGTTCAGCAATGTAAACAGCAAGGCATGGATCCCATTGGTGTTTACTACCAGGCACACAATTACATTGTGTGTTATTACATGAAAGGGTCCAACATGACTGAGTTTTTAAAAAAAATAAGGGATATCCTTTTTAATGGTAGACATACAGTATATTGTCATTTTGTTCAATGCATTAAAAGGTTTGATATCTGTCTTATTATCTAACTTATTACAGAATATCAGACGCAACTGCCAATTCTATTTTCATCCAATTAGCAAATACACCGATTTGCGGCCTCAAGTATTTTAGAGTAAAACATCTCTCCAAGCCAGTCATATACATTTCAAGGATAGCAGCAAACTTAATTGCAGATTCTTACCTATTCGGTTCTGTAGTCACTAAGACAGGCCATTGCAGTAACTTCCATGAACAGATTATCAGTAGGTAGGATCAGCTTGCTATAACACACAATCGGTGTAAAAAGTAAAAACTTGCATATCCACGACTGTTGATATGTCTTACCCTCCTCCAGCATACCACTGAAGATGAAAGGCTCAATGCAGCAAACCTAAGGAGAGTTTTGGGAATACTAACAGTTTACTTTAAACTCAGTGCATATGTCTATGAAAAGACATGAATCAATCACATAAAAAGAAAATTACAAAAACTAAAAACTGGCTGCACTCCAAGGTCATCAGTGCTAAAAAGCATTTTATTTGGAGACATAGACATTGAAGCCTCACCAGGACGACAATTAAACCAGTCATTGGGTGAAATGCATCAGAAAAAGGGAGGTCCCATGTGGTGCTTCACTCTGTATATCTATGGCATAATTACGTTTTATTAAATGCTGGGGACCTCCATGTGCATTTTTTTGTCAGAAAATGTATGGGGGAACATGGACAAGCTCCATCTTGTGTCTCAATTTCACTGATATCAGAGTCATTGGAGAGGCTTGGGAGCTGTGACTCATGCCTACCTACATATGGACAGAGATTTTACACTTTTGGGGACAATATGTACACAGTGTTATCTGACACTTTCAGATAATTCTAGCTGGCTGCTGACTAAAAAGAAAATGTATTTTCAATAACACTTCATTACAAAATAGCTTGTATAGCGACTATATATGTTCTTTTTTTTCTGAAAGTGGCTTTTTCTTTTATCATTTTTTTTATTTCATGATCCAGAATTTTGGCAATTTTATCAATGTGGCAGTTATTCACCTTTTCACCTAATAGCATAATAAATGCAACATATACATTTTATCATGTATTGAACCCACACAGAATTTCCAACATCGGTGACTAGTGGTAAGATCTAGCTAGACATGTGATTTCTGTCGGACTGATGGATTTTGCCCTCCTGAGCCTGTTTATCCCTTGCATAAGACAGACATGGAATTAAAACAATTTTAGCAAGACTGCAAGCAGTATTTCTCGTCGGCAGTTGTAAACTAAAATCCCTTTGCTGTTTGTTTATTTCCCCTCTCTTATTCCTTACAGAAATCTCATGTATGGAGTAGTGACATTAATGAAGTTTGCTGGTCAGCTTGATGGCAAATTTTTCTATACGGACTGTCTCTTTTTTGGATCTATCATCTCTGCCACAGATCCAGGTACACCTAATAATGTTTTATATGTATTGCTTGTATTGTACAAACCATTAGGGGCCCGTTTTTATAAATGTTTTTACACAAGATTCATACATCTTGAACCCAGGATGCACACATTTTCCAGTTAGAAAGTTATGTGAAGCTTCAAGGAAAGTTGTGTGAATCTGGTATGATATTTTGTTTAATTATTAATAGACCCCCTATTTCCTTTTTATCTTTTTTTACATTAATAGTTTTAGGGCAACCCCAGCAAGTTGGAATCAATATTTTTTTAGTGGCAAGGAATAGAGGAAAATGTAGAGCATAAATGACATTCATATCTTGTCCTCTAATCCACCCAAGGGCATTCTCCCATAGAACATGTGGAAGGAACATACAGGGGAGAAATGTCTCAAATGGGCTCCAAAGTCTTTCAAGCTTGGAGTTCATTGAGTAGACCAAACGAACAGGGGCCCAGGGGTGAATGATAATTACACATCACTATTCATCCTAACCCAGAAGTTGCCGTAGCTGCAATGAGTTTGGTTGGGCAGAAGCAGTCTAGAAAGTATGCCAGATATGCTTTAGTGAGGATAGAGCCATTTATGTGTACACCTGGTGAACAAAAACATGATGTGGAATTGTCTTATTTTCCAACTTGCTCATTGAGAAAAGGAAAAGGATGCATACTGCCTCAGGCTACTAGGTGAGTCATTTGAGTATAGTGACTGGTTACAATGCTGTCAAAGGCAGGTGGTTTCGAACCCCTCATACTGTTAGTCAAAATTTTATGGAAGACATAAAGCAGTCACTAGTAAAAGGCTTTTATGTTTTACTGAATGTTTTGTTTGACTTAGAATCCAGATTACACATGTTCTGTGTAATTTCTTTGTTAACTAAAAGCTAACCTTTTACTGTTCTGGTTCTTTAAAGTGACAGTCCTAGCTATATTCAATGATCTGCGTGCAGATGTGGACCTGTATGCTCTTCTGTTTGGAGAAAGTGTCCTCAATGATGCTGTAGCCATTGTGCTGTCATCGTAAGTACTTGGCTTATTTTTGTTTTTAAAAGAAATATAATCCAGTTATGTACATTGTACATCAATATAGTGACTCAGTGGTTACCAGTGTTGGGGTTCTGGCTTTACTTCAAGGTGCTGTCCGCTAGGGGCTGGTATGTTTTCCCTATGATTTAAGGCATTTACTGCAGGAGCCTACAAGCTCTTTGGCTGGGTAGTTGAAATAAAAAAATGCACTAGCATAATAAGCATGGCCTAATTTTTACATTATGGAGTCCTAGAAACGACTTAAAGGAGAACTATAGGGGTTAAGGCTTTTCCCCATAGTTCTCCTTAGGGTAACGGGAGGACACAAACTAGCGTCCTCCCGTCACCCTAAGCTCAGTATACCGCGAGTTACTGCTCGCTGTATACAGAGACGCTGAAGCCGATCCCGACAATTATGTCTGGATCCGCCCAGTTGCGTGAGGTACAGCTGGCTCTGCCTATCTAGAGGCAGAGCCAGCTGTACCCGCCCCCTCCCCCGTCCGATCCGCCAGTCAGCGCTGGCGGATCGGAGACGCCTCATAGTTCTCCTTTAATAATGACAGTCTTTTGCACAAGCTCCACTTTCTTTGTCATGTGATAATTTTTAAAAACTACTGCTAGAATGTGCTTTTGGAGGTTCATGTTGTCTGCTCTATATCAGTGACTGCTTTTCAGCTGTACAGAGCACCAAACAAGACAAAAGGGAAGATAGTTTAATATTTCCTGACCTATAAAGCCTCATGCACACAGGGCTTTTATGTGCGCCGGGGGTTTCCTGTGGCAAGGACCTGCAGATTCTTGTGACAGGAATCCCAGGTGGGTCAGTAGAGATGCGCCTACTTTGCTCATTCAGGTGAATGATGGGCTGACAGCGGCTGCATCTGTCCGTGGCTGTCCGCATGTAATTGTACATGGGACGATTAACTGCAGATTGGGATAAATTATTGCATCTGGATGCAGAGAGATTGTGTCCAGGAACAAGCATCTATCCCAATTCACAGATGCGGATGTTGTCAGCCTGTCATTCACTTGAATGGGCACAGTAGGTGCATCTGTATGGCCTCACCTGGGATTTCTGCAGTAAGAATCCCTAGGTTCTTGCCACAGGAATCCACAGGTGCACATAAAAGCCCTGTGTGCATGAAGCCTTAAAAGCCTTCTGATTCCTTTCAACATATTTTGCACCTGCTTTGCCCTACAGTCCTCCTGCTGAATTAAGAAACAAATGTCTGTTTACCTAGCTGTAAACCTATAACTTTCTGTTTTGATTAGGTCTATTGTTGCTTATCAACCAACCGGAGAGAACATGCACACTTTTGATGCGTCCGCCTTTTTCAAGTCTGTTGGAGTTTTTGTTGGCATTTTCAGTGGATCTTTCGCAATGGGTGTTTGTACCGGTGTAGCAACAGCTCTTATATCCTTTCTGTGATTTACACTGAATGATCTGCTTTCTCACATAATGCATGTGGCTTATTCCCTGACCACAGAACTAAAGTTCTAATGACTGTGGTTATGTTTTTCTGGAGTGCTTCCTATTTTCCCTGTATATGCTACTGACATAATTACAAGTGGTGTTCTGAGCAATTTTATTGTTCAGCTTAGAAAGATGTTTACTCACTGAGACACAGAACCTGAGGCTAAACAGCTGTGCATGGAAGCAGCCACCCCCTTACCTGTTTGCCACATACCTCTTTTAGAAGTGTCTTTACTCTGCATAATGAGACTGCCATGGAACTAGTATGTGGTTCATAAGGCCAGAATGGATGCTTCCATCGGAGCATTCTCATACAGGTTTCTGAAAGGAACCTAGTAATCTATTGCAGGCATTTATATAGTGCCAGCATTGCAGAGCTTTACATAATGTATGTTTACATAAGTCCCTGTTCTCAAGGCATTTACAATCGAATGTCCCTATCCCACATATATCGCACATATATACACACATACTAGGACCAATATAGTTGGCAGCCTATTCAAGTGGAAGTGAAGAAAACCTAAAAAGTTAGCTTTTTTTGTGTGTGTGTCTCGCATGCTTACTTATATGCACATACTCGGCAAGGTCCTGTGCCAAAACTAAATAACTTCTGTGCTCCAAGCCAATCGGGATGCAGAAGACTGGGTGAAAATGGAGGGGAAAGCAGAAACAGTCTGTTACCCATCACACTCCAGAACGGAATCCCTGGTATAAGCTGCGAATGGTGCCGTGTGAATCAAAATAGTCACCCGCACAATGAGGTCCAACATGTAAAACACCTTTTATTCACACGTTAAACATACATGGTATCACCAGTGGACAGCAGGAGGGGAGAGCAGACATGCATTGCTGGAGGGGATTGCCTACAAGATAATGTTGTACAAGTATGCTTTGTATACTAGCACATTGCAGCAAACACAAACACCCTCTGAGGTTTTTTGTTTTTTGCTTTACTTTTGCTTTTACCTACCAGCATATCTTTTTAATTCACAGTTTCAGAATTCATAAATAATAGAAAGGTCTTGCTGTAACATTTACACTAGTGTATGTAAAACCAAACATCTTTTTTCCTTTCTCTTGGTTTATTAAGAATACTATTGAATTTGTTATACTTGTTCTACAAGTGTGAAAAACTACCTGTTTCTGTCTTTTTTTTTGCATCCTCTATCTAACCTGTAAGTAATCCACACCTTTTGGGAATTGTCACCTAATCAGTGACTTCATCCAGTCAGCTGCAGTTAGTTTGGGTATTCTGACCACTGTGGGCACCGGCTGTCAGAATACAATAGCCCTGCAGGCTATTTGTTTAGATGGAGGAAACAAAACATTTTTCTTGTTCAGCCTGCTGGGACAAACAAGAAACGGCTACTCGTGTATGGGCAATTTTAGTGTCTGTGGCTTTCTTTTGCACAACTTTTTTGATCGTAAACTGCTAAGTTGTATTTTTCCCTTAACTGGTTGATAACGTAACCAAGTTTACCAAGCTGCACTGCTTCCCCTTGCTGGAGACGGCCCTGTTTTTTTTGCTATCGTGGAGTACTTTCCTTCTGGCTGAAGCGTGTGGCTTTACAGGTAATTGTATTCAGAAATCTTCAAGATGATTTGTGTATGTGAATAAGTGATGTTTGTGTTTCATGACGCACCGGTTTGGCTGGTTTCAGCAGAACATTTGGTGGCTGACAGATTTTTATCCATGTGTTATGATCTATAGAATTATAGCTCAGCTTCTTGTAACCATCTAGGACATTAACTTCTAAAGCCTTGAGATGGCGTTCACCCACCTGTAAATGAGCAGTGGGTAACATATGGGTAGTTTCTGACCTTACACTAAGGCATGCCAGGCTATATTTGTCTGCATGAGCACCCTAAACCACAATAAGGCTCCTTGGCCATCATACTCCAATATTGAGGACTAAGTGCTAAACGTGTATAGGATGGAATTAATTTTTTTATTTCACTTAAATATGATTGACTCAGTCATAGCTCTTTCGGAGGTGCTAGCATTCCAATATTGCAATTGTGTGTAAAATCCGCGCTTTTGGTGTTTCCTTTCAATATAATGTGTCGGCAGCAGTGAAAACAAGTGAATCCTCAAGTCACTCTCTAAAATCTCAAGACAAAATCACTGCGCAAAAAAACAAAAAAACATACAACTTTTATATATAAACAATAAAGTGCCTAGTGATAGTCCCAACACAGTATGTGACCTCCCCTATAGTTGAATTTAGTACAATCTTCAAACTACATGTGCAATGTGTTTGTGATCCAGATCACATGTGCAACTCCACAAATTGGTCTCTATAAAAAGAGGAGAAAAAAAAGGGGAAAAAGTATTTTTTAAGAGGTTATGTCAGCAATATATAACGTGCAAATGTTCGACATTCCACAAAAGGTATTTCTTAGTGTGATATCCTTAGTGTTTCTGTGTAATCAATACACTCACCAGACTCCTTTGACCACTTTTAAATGGTCAAACTGCACTCAGATTCAAATCCTTAGCGAGCCGCTCTCCCAAGACAGCTGAAGACTGAAGACTTTTTCAAAAGGTAGTCCTAGTCACTACCTTTTGAAAAAGTCTTCACGACGAAACATGTCAAGGAGGAGTTAACACACTGTCATCACGCTGATCACTGGGAGAGAAGCTGTTTGCCAGTGGAGGAATTATACAGCTCTGCCTATTAAGCCCTGAATGTAAGTTTTTTAAGAATCTATGATTAATTTTTTCCCATGGGGCACTGAATAACAAGGAGAAATGTGCGGAGGAGGATAATATTGGCCGTTTAGAAGGTGGATTGACAGGAATTGGAATGACTTGAACCGACCAACAGTTTTTAAAAACCCGTCAAACTGAAAGCAGATATTGGCTACAAAGGAGGTTGCCATCAGCTGTCTTGGGAGAGCGGCTCGCTAAGGATTGTAATCTGAGTGCAGTTTGACCATAGTGATCAAAGGAGTCTGGTGAGTGTATTGATTGCACAGAAACACTAAGGATATCACATTTAAGAAATACCTTTTTGGAATGTTGAACAATTGCACTTTATATATTGCTGAGCTACTAAAATATACTTTTTCCCTCTCTTTTTATAGAGACCAATTTGTGGAGTTGCACATGTGATCTGGATCACAACAAATTGCACATGCAGTTTTAAGATTGTATTGAATTCAACTATAGGGGAGGTCACATACTGTGTTGGAACTATCACTAGGCACTTTATTGTTTATATATATAAGTTGTAAGTTTTTTTATTTTTTAGCTCAGTGATTTTGTTTTACAAGCATTCCAATATTGCCATTCTGGGCCTGCATTTAACCGCAGATCTCTTTAACCTCTTGCCGTCCGCCCGTAGTAAAAAAACGGACGGACGGCACTGCAGCATCTGCGGGTTGCCGTCTCCAGACGGCAATTTTTTTCTGCTCGCGCGCGCCCCCTAGCGATATTGTATTTTCTTAATTCATAGAAAAAGGCAGGCATAATACGCTCTATGAGGTGCTATGTTAAATCAAACTGGTGTCATACAGGATAGATAAATCTCCTCTATGTGGACAGTTTTGTATTTTACATTTAGCAGAAACATATCCTCAGTAGGGACACAGACAACATTCAAAACTAGGAAAAACTTCTGTATTTTCTCCAATTTAAACTAGGAAAAACAAAATTTGGCTGGAGTTGGAATTTAAGCATTCTGATTGTTTTTTTTAATTTTTAGTCTTTATTTTGTACGTATCAGTTCTGACTCTTTTTCATATTGTAATTACAGGTGTAGTGTCTGTCCTGTTTTGTGGTATCACACAAGCACATTATACACATAATAATTTATCACCGGAGTCAAGGATTAGAACCAAGCAGGTAATGAGAGCTGCTTCTGTTTTCTTCTTCATTGGCACATAAAATGATCCTGTTTCTGATTACATACCAGAGTTTGTGATATAGATATATCTATATATAGATATATCTATATATAGATATATCTATATATAGATATATCTATATATAGATATATATATATACAGTCATTTTAAGGTACACAGGGAGCTGTAGTTTTAAATGTATCTGTGCCAATCGCTGACAGATCAAATGATCAAATGTGCAGAAAAATTATAATATGAACTTACAAATTTGTATTTTTAAATGTTGAAAATACCTATCTGCTGGAGCATTTAACACCCAGATAGTTTTGTCTTCCATACAGTAACTTGCATCTAAAAATAACTTGAAGGCAGTCATGAAATTGGTTTTCTTAGAAAGAAGTCATTATTGATAGCATAAACCTTTTTTTTTTAATGCAAGTTTCTCTTAAATCCTACAGGTAAAATAAAGCAAAGTTTTATCCCTGAAGATAAAAAGTCAGGCTTGGGATTGTGGAGTTGCAAGCTATATAGGAGTTGTTATACATAACTATATTTTACTATACTCCTTCCTTTCTATTGCCCACTGCATGGCCATACTTCTACCATTAATGTTTATTTGTACCCTGAACAGGGTAGCCTTCTTAAAACAGAAGGTACTTGCATGTCTTATTCCATCTTATATCTCAAAACGAAGAGGAATAATTCTCAATCAGGGCAGTAGGCTATGTCATGTAAATAATTGCTTTATGCTGTACTGGCCAGCTGCACATCAAGAACTGCTGGTATTAAGTGCATATGTAGCTAATATTATAGAGCCATTTATTTCAAACTGGCTTTTTGGCCATCAACAATGTGGTGTATGGAAACCATGGCTTTTCTGGCGTAGGGCTTGGGATGCAACCATACAGGTTATGTTGAGAAGGAACTAATCAATTAAAAAACTTTTACTTTACCCTACTCCACAGAAGCATGGTTTCCATACTCGGCACTAATGATGGCCAAAAAGCCTGAAACAACTCTGTGCAGTTTCGCATAATTGGCTCTATAATTAGCAAAATTTACACTATACACCAGTAGTTCTGGTGCATCTAGTCATTGTTGCATAAAGGAATGATTTGCATGGCTCCACCCACTGACCCACAATTACTTTTGGGATATGTGATGGAATGAGATGTGAATATCTTCTGTTTTAAGAAGACTTTACTGTGCTTCACACTGATTTGAGTTGAGGGCTTTTAATTCCTTTAGTCCCTTCTCACCATAACCTGTATGGTTATACTTTCTCTACTTTTACCCTGAAAGACTTCTACAGGCCACCCACATTCTATATTAAATTCCATATTACATTCTATTGCTTTCTGCAGTTCTTAGATTTTTTCCAATCATTTGTTTTATGACTTTAATAATCTTGTTTTGTGTTTTGCTGCAGCTGTTTGAGGTCTTGCACTTTCTGGCAGAAAATTTCATATTTTCCTACATGGGTCTAGCACTCTTCACTTTCCAGAAACACATGTTTAGTCCCATGTTTATCGTTGGGGCTTTTGTATCCTTTATGTGCTGGTGGAATAAGGACTGTGTTGCGTTAGGACTTAATACTTGTTTTGTGTTTGTGTTTTTCCTGTTGTCTTGGAGCTCACTGTCAAATATGCATTTCATCACAGAATACTGTCATGCTAAACATTTGCTTGGGGCTTTACATTGCAAGGGGAACAAACTGAATGACAGAGGAGTGCCTTCAGCAAAACACATGTTTGGATATTTCTCTTAAATGCCACATAAATGAGCTACAGTAAAACTGAATTGCTATCTGTATACTGGTGAGGAATAATGTACTGTACACTGGTATAGAAAAATGCACTGTGCTCTCCACACACTGGTGTAGGGTAATGGACTGTGCTCTCCATACACTGGTGTAGAGTAGTGGACTGTGCTCTCCATAAACTGGTGTAGAATAGTGGACTGTGCTCTACGTAAATTGGTGTAGAGTAATAAACTGTGTCTCCATACACTGGTTTAGAGTAATGGACTGTGCTCTCCATACACTGGTGTAGAGTAATGGACTGTGCTCTGCATATGCTGGTGAAGCGTAAAGGACTGTGCTCTCTGTACACTGATGTAGAATATTGTACTGTGCTCTCCGTACATTGGTGTAGAGTGATGGACTGTGCTCTCTGTACACTGGTGTAGAATAATGTACTGTGTGTCTTCAAAGTGGCAGACAAATGGATAACACTCCATTAATAGTCATCTAATGCTCCACAAGCATCATTCTCTATGTAATGCAACTTGTAGAGAAGTAGTGGTCTTCAGGGAGCTTAATACAAACAGTCTTCTGTGCAGTAACTGGACATTGAATAACACATTGTATTATGTTCTTTCCTAAGAATAACATGGAGGCTGCCTTTGCTAACTTCTGATATATATCTGGGGAAAGGAGGGTCCCAGAACATAAATATCAACCTTGTGGTGGGTCTCCTATATTACATAGAATTGGCACATTTCCCCATGGAGGGAGATCCCAGCACAAATGTAATGCTGCAACTATTTAGTTATGTATAAAACATTTAATTTATTGAATACATACGAAATGTAATCTTTAAAATATAAAGCACACACATGCAGTATAATCACTTCACCTCAATGCGTTTCTGTGTGCCCTTCTGACAAAGCCCCATAGGGGGAGAAACGTGTCAAGGTTTAGCGTGGTGATTGCTATTCACCTTGGCTTTGTGGATGTCCCTCTTAGCCAATGATTCCAATGCGACACCAGGATTCCAAGAGTTACAATTTGGATACTTTCTGACAATTTGATCCTGTGTGAAAAACGAGACATTGAAGGAATTGATGGCATCAGAGTACCAGCTAAGCATACGTATACCCACCGCTATTGTACGGCCGTACCCACAACTTGGAAATTGCCTTCATTTATCTTTGCTGAACTCAAGGTTCTGACACGGTCAGTGTCTCTTGATGCTTATTGGTTTCACTGATTGATTTCATGTCTATGGACACACAGTGTATACTGGATTTTGGTATTTTGCAGACATCAATACCATGAGTTTTTTGCCCAATGTATGTGCGCCCCACACGGATGGGTGAGCACAGAAAATCTGCTTAATCTGCCTCGTACGGATATCCACAAATCTGCAAACATTTTGCTATTGTGCAGTCCACATATGAATGATTTTGAGGGGTCCACTATAGAACTCTTTTTTTTTTTTTTTTATTACATTAGCGCAGTGGAATTATGTGAACTATATGTGTGTGCTTTAGATTTTAAAGATTACATTTCGTATGTATTCAATAAATTACATGTTTTATACTTAACTAAATAGTTGCAGCATTGCATTTGTGCTGGGATCTCCCTCCATGGGGAAATGTGCCAATTCTTTGCTAACTTCTCTTTCTGAATATGCTAGTTGCCTGAATGTCGTGTTTTTTCCCCCTCTTCAATTCTTTAGAGTGACTAACCTAAAACATAGTGTTAAAGTTTTGAAGGGAGTCGGTGAACAAAACAGTAATTCAACTAGTATGTTGAGAAGGAGATCAGCAAAACAAGCCTCTGTCTCTTAGCAAAGATTTAGTTTAACTTGCTCACCTTTTTATTTTGGCACATCTGCTTCCAAACATAAAATCCAATTGAACTTTCAGTTAAAGGGTTAAATCACCTTTCCAATAAAATTGCCTGTCCATTCAAGCGTCTGCATAAATAAAAACACTGCTCAGCTTTGACAAAAGAAGCTAGGAGGAGTTTTTCAGACAGACTTGGGTAAAGCCATGCACGGCCTACAGGTATGACATTGAAAAGAAGCTTCTTTTGCCAAAGGTCAGCAGTGGGGGTTTTTTTTTGTACTTGAGGACGCTTGAATGCATGAGCAATTTTATTGAAACAGTGAAATCCGCTAGTTACTATCCAAGTGCATCAAATCAAATGGTGTACAAAGAATTATAGGGGTTTTTTTTCCTTAGAAGGCACCAGTATACCGAGTAGAGAAGCCTGTCGCCTGCCAGCATGCTTTGAGAACCCTTTTTATCTGTGTAGAAGTACTGGTCTCTCTGCAGAGGTCCAACACACCCCCTGCTGAATTATATCTATAGCTCACCAATCCGCAAAGCTCTAGCTGCCTGCTGATTGGAGACACGCATGGGGAGTGTCAGAATCTTTTCAGCTTAGGCTGTGGCAGCTTTCTAAAGGAAATTAAACCTGGCCATAAACTGGTAGTTTATTGTACGAACATTCATGGAAAAAAAATGTCATCACAAAATTCAATAATGCCATTGGAGACTTGACAAATGTCATTTGAAATTTTGTTTGATTTTAACATTCATTTTTGGGAAGTGAATGGAGTTTCCTGAACGAAAACCACATTTACCATTTAGAATTTTATTTGGAAAATGTTTCCATCCTGTTACTTTGTTTTGGTCACTGTGGTTTAAATCAACCGTTGATTTGACCCTATTAACTATTCGGATATCTAACGAATGTCCCAACTGGTATATGACCAGCTTAACTGAAAGACTTTGCACATCTTTTGTTTTCATTCACCAGGAATGCATTTAACTAATTTAAAGTGAAAATTCAGTTGGGCCTTCTTTTTCTATGTCATTGGGTGTCATAGGTAGCCTTATTTTTAAACTCATTTTGCTTTAACACAGATTATTTTTTTTTTGTGCTGCCAAAAAAAACTTGCACAGACCTAGAAAGTTAAGCAATTGCACAATGTAAGTAACATGCCCATTGCAGAGAAATATGGCTAGTTAAGAACTGCAGTGCTTCGGAGATGCATCAGTATTGACAATGTCAACCCATGTCTAAGAAAAAATCTTATCCTCTGTAGCTTTGACGTACAGTTCTGCTGGTATGGATTGACACAGGTTTATTAATATCACACTGGGAGTTGGGGATTACATTAAAAGCAAAGTTCCAGAGGAAATTAAAATGTTGCACACAGGATGCTCTTATGACCCTTTGCTGAGAGATAAATTATTGTTTTGTAGTACAAATAATTATTTTTTTACACTGCCTAACTTGCAGCTTTTGTTGTAGTTTGTTTTAGGTTAATATTATTAGAATTTGTTTTTTTTACAATGTATTTATATCATTAATGCTTTCTTTATACAGTAATAAAAAGTTGAGAGTAATTGATGACCTTTTTCTTCTTTTGAGTTTTGAAACCTTGACTTCTACCTGCTATAGATAGCTGTGTTTGTTGGGAGAGCAGCTCATATATATCCACTGTCATTTTTCCTCAACTTGGGCAGAAGGCACAAGATTGGTTGGAACTTTCAGCACATGATGATGTTTTCAGGTATGTAATGTCAGATACTTTATATCAGATTAGTAGGTTTTCACCCTGCTCTTAAAGGCACCATTCACACTGCCACGCATATACGCGCGTATGTGCATATTGTACCATATGCAGCAATTGCACATAAATGGCTCCATACACATGGCTGCATATGGAGCCGTATATTTGCGTAGCGTAGACAAAACAGAATGGAACCGAGATGCGTATTTCTCCGTATTTTATGTGCATATACGTGTTTTTGCGCGCGTATATGCACGTACCCTCATACAGTTTATTCAAATTTCTATTACCAAGATTATGCATTCTGGGATTGCATATAGTGCACGCATATACGCGCGTAAATATACAATTTTGCTCTTGCGTTGTGTGTGAATGAGGCCTAAGCAATACTAAACTCAGGAGTTAAACCTTAAAAATGCATTCAAGTACCTTAACTGTTAACAAAAATGTAGTTTATGTGTGTACTTTACAACATACACAGGGACCATGGGGAAGAAAAGTAGCCACCCTCACTTCATTCAGGAACTTGAATGCATTGTTAGGGTTTAACTCCTGAGTTTAGTGTCACTTGAAGTGGAACCCCATGTTTTCCCAATTTATGTGATAGCAAGTTTTTGCAGAAACAAATATACAGATACTGATCTGAGAAAGGGAGGTTGTACACACCATATTTGATGTGCAAGTAAAACTTCACTGTGATTTCTATTACAATTGCACCTCAAAGCACTAGCAGAGAAGCTTCCACAATCTAAGTTTTATTCTTGAGAACAGCTATGTGTTCAGGTGTTTGTTTTTTTTTTTTTTTGTTTTTTTACTGGATTAGGACTCCAGCAAATCACTTTTCATCTGCAGTAATTACATACAAACATAAGGCTGCTCTTACGAGCATGATCCATTAGCATTGATGGGCTGACTACCTCTGCATAAATAATAGCAGTAAAAGGATCTTGTAGCTGATGGTAATGTTTGGGTGTTGGATGCCCTGCATGCCACTAAACCAGGGGTATCAAACCTCAGGCCCTCCAGCTGTGGTGAAACTACAAATCCCATGATGCATCTCTCTTCGGGAGTCATGTCTGTGGCTGTGAGAATCTTGCAATGCCTCATTGGATTACCTTTTTTATAACACTTCAAATAGATCCTTAGGATTTGATGAATTCCACATCAGAGAGCACTGGATGATTAGAGACTATAGTGGTGAAATAAGCAGAATTTTTTTTTTTTTTTCTAGGCCCCGTCTACTTAGAGGCAAAAAGTTCCTCTTTAAATGTTCCTCATTAGCTAGTGCATTTATTGCTAAATTTGAGTCTACAGCTTGTGGTCTTGTCTGTTTCTCATTAATATTGGTTGTTTTAAGGGAAGAAAATATAAACCACTAATTAGCTTTAGGACAACCAATTTTTGCTGGGAATAATCATTATTTACTGTACTTTTTATCTAATGCTAACAAGTGTTTCCATTTTCAACAGGTCTCCGTGGAGCAATGGCATTTGCCCTCTCAATTCGTGACACTGCCTCATATGCCCATCAGATGATGTTCTCCACAACTCTTCTTATTGTATTTTTTACTGTCTGGGTAATAGGTGGGGGAACAACTCCCATGTTATCCTGGCTGAATATCAGGTGAGTGGTATCACAATTTTAGCAGTGTTAACACTATGTGTTAATTGGAAACCAAAACATTGGTCATTCAAACAGCAACAAAGCAGCTGCCAGAATAGAAGCTGAGCAATTAGAATTTTTTTTGGGCATTAAAACAGGTTTGCATTTTCAATTAGGCTATCACGTCAAATAGCTCAATCGTTTTCCATACCCCTGTCTTCATTTTCATTTCATTCTTGTACAATGCCAGAGTTGGTGACCATGTGCCATCGTTGGAGGATGAGAGCGTTAGACGTTGGCAGTATTTCAGGTGATTGGGTTCTTCCATGTGAACTGTTAACTCACAGTTGCTCTTGGTACTTTACTTGGGAACCTCTTTCAGCTGCTTTTTGCTCTGTTGATCTAACTACCCTTCTTTTAGGACTGTAGCTTTTGTATGCACTTGTTCTGTGCTTGGCTTTCTTCTGCAATCTATTAGCTGAACACTTTGAGATTGAAAATTTGATTTATGAAATATAATAGGATAACACTTTATCTTACAGTTGATAGATATACCCTTCTCCTGATTAATGTATCCTTTAAAGTAGGGATGCACCAATATTGTTTTTTCGGTATCGGGTACAAGTACCCATATTTTCCTTTTGGTACTCGCTGATCCCGAGTACCGATACCAGTATTTCCGCTAGCATGGAGCCTGCTTCCTGGGCAATCAAGAAGCCAGGCAGCAGGTAATGACACGCCACCTGGCTTATTGATTGCCCGGGATGCTAGCTCCATGCTGTTTGGCCAGCTCCATGTCTCCTCGTGGCACTGTCGGTCAGAGGAAAGGTGCCTCTGACTGGAAGTTCCAGTATCGGGGGTAAGTATCAGAGCATTTGGGTGAGTATGAGTACCTGCCCAAATACTCAGTATCAGCACTGATACTAGTATCTGTATTGGTGCATCCCTACTTTAAGGTGCATCTCCACTTTTGCAGTCAAATTTGATAAATCCCCCTATATGTTTTGTTCTGTGTTCCTAATACAAATATTACCTTCACATTGATCTGTCATTATAAAAAAAGACTAAAGACTAACATTTTAGGATTGTTTCTCTCAATAACTTCATTAACATGCAATGGAGAGACCAGGCCTTTAATCCCGTAACCCCTCAAGAAGCAAAGAAACCCTAACCCAAGTAAAAGCAATTTTTAAACTGCATTTTAGCTTATGCTATGTGAATGGGAACATGTGACCAATAAAATTTGGATTTTATCCCAGTTTGGCTCTGAAAGTGGAAATGCGCTTTAAAGGACTAGTAAACATAGGAAATATAAGCAAGTTTTGAATCTGTTTTCAGAAAAAACTGTTTTTATGAACATATCAGAACTGAAGAGGCTTGCTGATGAGCATGTGACTTTTCAAAGAGATATTTGATAAAACAGAGATAGATGACTTCCTGTCAAGTGAGAGACACGTTAGTCAGCCTGTCTTATGTCTGTCCAAGAATAACGATGAAGATTACATATGGAGATATAAAGTTGTTTCACTGAGGTACACAAACCAAATAACTGAGTTTCTAATCGATCTTTCTCAGAGCTTAGGGCTGGTGCAGATTTGGGCGATCCCGGGACCGCGCAGTTGAGTGCGGTTGCACACAGCAATTGCCCCACGGCCCCATTGATATCAATGTACCTTTTTTTTGCGACACGCATGGCCCGGTTTTTTAAACCACGTTCGTGCACAATTGCACGGGCGGAATCACGGTGGGAAACAGCGCAATCTGCCCGATGGAACTAGGGTGCCATTAGAAAATAATGGCACCGCCAGCGCGATCTGCGGTGGTGTGCAAGCTCGGATGGCCACGCGGTTTCGTGCACGATTGCCACGTGGTCAAGGATCGCCTAGGTGTGAACCTGGCCTTAATCTGTGTCAAAGAGTAACTTTGTTACAGCACATCATATTGCTTCATCTTAAAGAAGAGAAGAGATTCAGGTTCCAAATGCAGACATTATCCTTAAAGAAGAGATGCACAGCATTGCTCACTGTAGGGACTTGTTTTGAGAATGGCAGGATATTGAGTTTTACAACTGGAACTGGTTGAGATCTCACTTTGGCTTGTTCACACCATGTCTGGACCATGTCCAGACCAGAACAGTTTGTTCCTAGACCAAAAAAACTGGAACGCATGAAAACATTTTTTTAAAAAAAGCATACAAAGCATGTAAATGCACAGGAACGCACCTGTAAGCACAGTTTAAGCTAAAAAAAAGTAAAGCGGCAACACGCACTGCACTGTGTTTGCAGATCTGGTCCGCACATAGTGTGAACATAGCCTTAGGGAGGATCCTTATATGCCCAAATGTAATTACTAGACACAGCTGATAATAAACCGCAAAACAACTTTACACATATAGATACAGATGGCATATCAATAAAAGACTCAAGCAGTGTCTACAATTAGACTCAAAACCAGACCTTCATGGGATAACAAGAACTAAAAAGCAAGAGGCAGCATAGGCAGAAAACATAATATGCATGTTCTGACAAGCATGCATACCTGAACACAATGATATTCCAATGGACCTCCAAAAATAATTTGCTAAAACACTATAAAATGCAGTTTACACTTGAGGGTATAATCCAAGTACAAAAAATGAAATGCCACCAATCCTTTAATAGAATGACAAGCCGGCCCGGTCACTATCTGCAAGGAGTTTGCATGTTCTCCCTGTGCTTGCATGGGTTTCCTCCAACACTCCAAATTAGGTTAATTGACCCCTCTCTAATTTGGCCCTCGTATGTATGTATGCATGCATGTGAGATAGGGAGCTTTGGGCTTGTTCACAGCCGGCTTCCTGTGTTCAGGGGTGGGAGAGGACGTGGCGGTGCATTGAAGTCAATGTTGCTGCAGCCGCGCCCCCGGCCCGCAGTGCGATCACCCACACCAGAACGTGCGGCGCACCAGTGCCTGCGTTCCAGGCCAGTGCAATGTGAAAAAATGCTGCAAGCACTTTATTTTTCAGATTTCACTGGACCGAAACCCAGGCACTGATGTGCCACACATTCTGGTGTGGGCGATCGCACTGCGGGTGGTGTGGCTGTGGTGCCATTGACTTTGATGCGCCGCCAAGCCTCTGAATGCAGGACTGCTCTGGAATGCAGTGTTCATGGTGTGAACAAGCCATTAGTTTTTGTAAGCTCCTTGAGGGCAGGGACTGATGTGAATGTGCACTATTTAAAGTGCTGTGTAAAATTGTCGGCGCTATATAAATACTTGTAATAAATAATAACATATATGACTGGCATGTCCTATGAGATATAACAACTAGTTAATTGTCAAACCAGATATGTTATTTATGTGATTTCTTGTTTAGAGTGTAGGAGATAATACGTTGATAGAACAACAAGACCTTTATCTGATAGATTTAGGGATCATCTCTCCAATAATTGAACAAAAAAAACCCACTAATATTGCTAGTCATTTAAAAAGTGTATACTAAAATTGTTGTAATGTGTAACTGACATGGAGCTAATTTTTTTTTTTTTTTTTAACAAACACTAGAGTTTCACTTTTATAAGGATTGGGAAACTAAAGTGCTGTTTTCTAATGAGATTCACTTGGCTGGAGCTTAGCTCTTCCAGCTTTGGCTCGACTCCATGATATGCCCTTCAAATCGCATACACTCCTCTCCAATAGTTCCACAATGGAGGCTCTGTGCTGAGATCAAGGCTCACTTGTTTCATCGTGTCTTAGCCAGCAGTTTGAAATGAAAGTAAAGACAAATTGAAATGGGCTGTGTCATTCTGCAGCTGCCATGGTGAAATAATAGACCGACTCCATTCACTCGCTGATGCAAACAAAACAAATTACCTTTTCTCTTTAGAAATCGCTGCTGCTGACATCATACATTTCATTCAGTGACAAAACGCTAAAGTAAATAGCGTGTGTTGAATGACACTGACCAATTGTTGGAAAAGTAGCAAACCTTTTCTAGTTATGAAAGCGTGCTACAAATAGAGTATCATGGCAACATAAAAATGTATGTTCAGCGAGTTAAAAAAAATAACAACCTAATTTCATAGAAGAAAAAGAAATATTAACGGCACATGGGCTGTGTATTTGCAGCTCACCTTTATGCAACAACTGATCTCACCATTATGATGCAAGCAGAAATAAATGTGTATTCATTTTAATGGGCCACTGCCCGGCTTCCTGATTGGCCGACTCCATGCTCCATCGTCACAAGTGACTATAGAGCCTTGGTTCTCAACTGGTGGGTCACGACACCAAAAGTGGGTCACGGCCCCGTTTTCAGTGGGTCACGACCCCGTTTTCAGTGGGTCACTGCATGCCTTCCTTTTTTCTAGGTGAGAGGATCCTCTGCCTCCACCTAGCGCAGCAATATCAGTTCTCGCACCAAGCAGCAATTCAAAATATGCTGCCTGCCGCCCGAGTGTCAGCTCGAAGTGGGATGGAATGGGGCTATGGCTTTGAGGGAGCTCCATCCATATGTGCATTACTTACAGCTCCCTCACGTGCCCGATAGAGATGCCATGGTGACATCACATTCTGGCTCCCGGCACCTCTACAGGGCGCGCAAGGGAGCTGTACAAGCAATGCACATATGGATGGAGCTCCATCACAGCACATCAGCCCACACTGGACCCCAGGCTGAGATCCACTCCATTTCTCCTAAAGTAGGGAGACTGGGTGGACCTTAAAAAAAAAATCAAATCAAATTAAACATTTTTTGGCGTGTGTATGAGAATGTCTGTGAGTGTGTGAGATTCTGTATGTATGTCAGTGTTTTTGAGGGCCCGTTCACACTAGTACAGAGCATTATTCACATAGTACTTTGCGATTAACGCACTGTACATCGAAATTGCACCTACTGTGCATTCTGGTGCGGGAGGTGTGTTGGGTTGCCATTCATTTGATAGGTACCCCAAACGCACCTCCCGCCCACAGTTCTTACACCCGCACCGAGACACGCGGTATCCTAATGCTGTGTGTTCTATTGCAGTGGGTCTTGAGGTCACACAGGTTGAGAACCACTGCTATAGAGCATAGAGATGGTTTCCCGGCCAATCAGGAAGCCAGGCAGTGTGTAATAACTCGCTGCCCGGCTTCCTATTACTGGAAGCTAGGCATCGTAGCATTTGGTTGAGTACGGGTGCCCGCCCAAATACTCAGCATCAGCGCCGATACCGATACTAGTATCGGTGCATCCCTAATGTGTACCATAGGGATAATCATACCTTAGTTCATCCAGAACACAACATCACAATAAATTTATTTAAAAACGAAAAAAACACTCACATTTAAAGCACACCACTATTGTATGCTTGAGAAAGTTCTTGAGAAACTCCACAGTGACAAATGCATAGGATGTAGCTAAACATCACAGTTTAGAGCAGGGCTCAAAATTTAAAGTCCTGAGTTACTAGCCAGGGCTTATGAGTTACGCGCCACTAGTTGCCCCACCTAACCCCTACCCTGCCCCACCTTAACTCCGCCCTAAACACACCCTCTTAAATTATCTTATGATAGTTGCCGCTTGTAAACGGCAGATTAGGGATTCCTGTTGCAGGAAAAAGCAAGTTCCAGACGCAGGAATCCCTAATCTCTGAAATATAGGTGTAAATTGGGGCCTAATATACACATACACTAAAACACATTAATACACTTCTCAACGTAACTCCCCCCTCCCCCCCACAAATATAATAATAAAATTCCCCCCGCACACAAAAAATAATATATCCCCCCTCTGTTGTAAGTCCCCCACACATAAAATAATACACCTCCCCTTCCCACCTACCCCTTGCACACATAAAATACACTCCCCCCATTATAAGCCCCCCACACATAAAATATTATACTCCCCCCTTATTAACCCCCCTACACATAAAATAATACGCTCCCCCTTATTAACCCCACACACACAAAATAATACTCTCCCCCTTATTAACCCCCACACACATAAAATAATACTCTCCCCCTTCTCCCTCATTAATACCCCCACACACAAAATAATACTCTCCCCCTTCTCCCTCATTAATACCCCCACACACAAAATAATACTCTCCCCCTTCTCCCTCATTAATACCCCCACACACAAAATAATACTCTCCCCCTTCTCCCTCATTAATACCCCCACACACAAAATAATACTCTCCCCCTTCTCCCTCATTAATACCCCCACACACAAAATAATACTCTCCCCCTTCTCCCTCATTAATACCCCCACACACAAAATAATACACTCCCCCTCCCCGCGAGCCCCCCTCACCTGTTCACGGCTTTGCAGGGAGGAGGCTTGAGGAGGATCGATCCAGGGGTGATTAGTGAGGTCTGTAGACCTCACTAATACATTCCTGCTTTCGGCCGTAGCTCCGAACTGTCAGAGCTCCAGCCGAAGGAAGCTGGAGCCGACAGGAGCAGCTCTGCGGTCAGGCCCAGATTTCCCACAAGGCCACCGAGGCCCGGCCTCGGGGCAGCAGAGCGCAGAGGATGAGCCCTGGTTTAGAGCATTAGACCCAGAAGCAGAGGAGAACTAGAGATACCGGAAGGACAGAGACGGGAGTGTATGTCCCCAAAGATGGTCATTCTCCGTGCTGGATTTCTAAGCTTGATAAGTAAACAATAGTGGTGTACTATTTTAAATGTGTGTTTTTTAAAAAAAAGTTTTTAAATCTAGTTATTGTGATGTTTTTATGTGATGAGCTGCAAAATGTATATGTGTGTATGTGTATATATGTATATGTATGTATGTGTGTACGGATTATATACAGATTTCTCTTTTTTTAATGCGTGGTGTAATGAAGGACGTTTATTGTGAGCTGCTTTTTTTAGAACGAGATTTAAACCATTGGCTCATACATTTTTTTTAAATTGATCTTTATGTGTTTGTGCCTACAGTATTATGTGTACAGGACAGTTTACATATGGTACTACAGAATGTAGGAAGCTGGTATTGCATCAGGGGAGCTGAGGACACCTTGCTGAGTTGTCTTGCTAAACTTGGCACCCTATGTAACTGTCCATCACACTTTCTGGCTTTCCTGTGTATGCTTACTAATTGTAGTCATGTGCACTCTTTCACTACTAATCACACAATGGGGTGTTCTGTATTCATCCAGATATGGCATTTTGTATGGCAACGAATTAGTTGTTCGCATGAAAGCAATCTCCGTTTACTCCGTGTGATATAATCTTCAGTGAATTATTTGTTTATGTAACAGGGTCGGTGTTGATCCAGATCAAGACCCGCCTCCAACTAATGACAGCTTCCAAGTACTGCATGGAGTAAGTACCTAATTACTTTTGTTTTGTTCCCCCTGAGACTTTAGACATTTTCTGAATGATTAAGTTTGTTACTACTTGGATTTACTATGTTATTATGTACTGAAGATATTTCCTTTAACGCAGAACTAAACCCAGGAACATACATTTAATATATTGCAGCCTACAAATCTTTAGATGTGCTGGCTGCATTGGCTTTCTTTTTTGAGTCTAAGAACATTTTCAGCAAGAACAGAAAATACCTGTTGCTCTTGCCAAAATTGTTGTGCCCATGTCACTTCCTGTGAGCTAAACCAATAGAAAACCCAATCTTGTTTGCTTCTGTAAACTATAAATATAATCTCCCCCATGGAATGGATATGAACAAAGGCAAACAGTCTGTGTGGCAATCACGGCTACCTCCATAGATACTGTTGAGGAGTGAGCTTAGACACCCAAAGACAGGAAGTCTTCACAGGACTATCTGGTGTAAAAATAAAGAGGGGAAACTAATGCAGCCACCACATCTAAGAACTGGTAAGCTGCAGTATATAAAAAAATGTTGGGTTTAGATACACTTTAAGAACATGTTGTGTTCTATGGGTTAAACCTCTTTGCATGTTAATTCATACTGTTTCCCATTTACTTCCATACTAAGCAGTTGTAGCTCTTAACCACTTGCTGTCCGGAGCATTTTCTTTCTATTTGCGCACACACATGATAAAATATACATTTTTGGCTAGAAAACCGCTTCAAACCATCAAACAATGATACATGTTCTGAAAGCAGAGGTCCTGCAGAATAAAAATATGCTAGTTGCAATTTTTTATGTCGCACGGTTTTTGCGCAAATGTTTATCAAACGAGTATTTTTAGGCTAAAACAAACTATATTAAAATTTAGTGCACAGAAACATAATACCCAATTTTTTGGTAAAATATAAAAGACGGGGTCATGCCGGGTAAATAGATACCAAACATGTCAAGCCTTAAAATTGCGTTCTCCCGTGAAGCCGCAAAAAAACTTCAATACCTCAAATTTCCCATAGGAAATTTGGGGTATTGAAGTTTAGTGCTAACAGTAATTAATGGATCTATAATTATTGCTCTCACTCCGACATTCGCGGCGATATGTAACATGTGTAGCGCAATTGTCGTTTTCGTACGTAGGCGCACCGACGCGTGTGTACGTGTGTGCACATGGGGGACTTTTAAAAAAAAAATTTGCATTTTAAAAATGTTTCTTATATGTTATGCAGTATAGACGGCGGATTTAAATCACTCCATACTATATCCAAAATGAAGACAAAAGGTTGGATTTAGATATACTTTAACCTTAAAAAAACACAAGCTGACTGTACAACTTGCCATAACATTGTGAAATGTATGGTCATCTTGCTATTTTTGAGCGTTTGGCAGTCAGTTCATGCATTCGAGAGAAGACTGTTATATAATATTTGTTGCCAGTGTTATATTTACAAAGTAATGATCTTCATAATGTGTGTGTTTATGGTGCTTGTAGGACGCTGGTGAACCCGGTGGAGGAAGTCGCACACAGCAGGAGAGTGCCTGGGTGTTCCGGCTCTGGTATACTTTTGATCACAAGTATCTTTTCCTACTATGTTAGAGTATGTACAGTGTCCATTTTAGGAACACCTCCTCCTTACAGCTTCTCTAAAACTCGCCCCCTTCATCTAAAAAAAAGTAATCAGTTCTCCTCCAAAACTAGGGTAGTTTTGGTTTGTTTTCCTTTCGTGTCCCCCTCCAAACCTTGCTCAGGTGTCCTCCTCAGCCTTCCTCCCAGCATATGTCATTTCCAATTCTTCCTCCTAATGTCTTCCGCATTCATTCTTTAAATGTTAGTTGTTGCCTGTCCTGGTGACATACCCACTTCCATTCCTTCTCTGTGCATTTTTAGCTTGTCAGTTATCCTTCTCTTTGCTTGTCATTCCCTGCTTCTCAACCATACTTTTCCCTGCCTTTCATTCCCCTTTCTAGGCTATACTCTTCCTCCTACTCAACTTTGTTTATCATTTCAGCTTTTCCATCCTAGCTGTACTGCTCTTCCCTGCTTGTAATCCATTTTTTCTTCTTCCCGCTTCTCCAGCATCCTTCTGCACTGTGGGATGAGGAAGTGTATGCTTGAAGGTGCTGACAGTCTAAAGCTGACCATACACTATACAAATTTCAGTCGGTTTTTGATGAACTGGCCAAAATTTGCACAGTGGGTGCTGCTGTCAGAACCTTACCATCCTTATCCCTCAATCAGCTTATTGAAGGAGCCGGTTGGAAAATCTACAAACGGTGTTAGCAGCCAATCTGATGCAAGGACCATGCCGATATGCTGACGCTGTCGAAATACAATTGAAACAACAGGGGGATTCGTCCATCCACGCTAGTTAGCATGGATGGAGGAATGTTATTTTTTTTTTTGTTCAGCCCACAGGTTGAACGAAATGCTAAAAATGCTTGCAGTCTATCATTTTAGGCTCTTACCAATTTGACTGGCTTCATTTTGAACAATCCCAGAGAAAAAAAAACACACACACACAGCTGCTCTGTTAACTAGATTGTTTCAGCAGCTCACTAAGAGCATATACCTCTCCTGGAATTGTTTTTTATATATGTGTACTTCAAACGGATCACTGTGTAACTATATAATGCTCTCTGAAATACGTCAGTTTTCCTTAATGTCCAAAAAAAGTTATCTGAAGCCTATGCTGACACACAGTGGTCCTCCGTTAACTACAACGCTGCCCAGCTGGTGTGGCTTGATTGCCCGATGTTTCACAAGCCCGCAAGTATATGACGTGAGTATATTACACAATTTCTTTTTGTTACTTTTCATGTCACTCTTCTAATATTGTATAATCTAGTATTCGACTATCTGTGCACTTTATTTACATCTATAATCATTCACTTGAATGCTTGGGTTATTATGTGTATATCAACTTGGACATCCACACCTTCCTTTCTGCCCTCAGCCAGTTTAAAGCAAATCAGTTGAGTAACTAAAGTAGTTAAACTGGTACTTAGGGATTGAGATCACTCATTTTATTTATATCTTCTGCTAACTCAAACCTTTCTTTATTGTTTTTAGATAAAGCACAGAGGGGTTAGGACATTGGTCAGGTTTTTATTGCTGCCTTTATCTCAGCTGGGGAGATTGAGTCTCTCAATTTTTCTGGTGACTATTGTCATCAGGCCAGAGAGCAAAGGGAATTCCAAAATGTTGTGGTCGTCACTGGAACAGTTTGTGTAGAAAAACATTTCATTGGGACACCAATGCCAGTTACAGCTGTCTAAGATGGGATTCCCTATCACTGTGTGGTTATTTCTTCCCTGTTGTCTCCTGGACAGGAAGTACATTGAAATACCCCCAGCGGGATAGCAGCTAAAATCCTGATGGGTTTTAACCCTTCCCTATGAATCCAAAGGTTTTAAAAAGTTGGAATTAAGATATACTTTAAGCAAATAAAGTGCTGGCATTTCTGACCAATAGTGAGGTGTTTTCAGGGTGCTCAACCAAAACCATAACTGTCCAAGGTGTGTGCATGAGTTACTTTGGTGACCATTAGGAAATTCAAGGTGGCAACTGCAGTACCCAGAGTCTTGAAATATATATGCCTATTTTGTATTTGTTCTCCATCACATGTTAACAGGCACAACCCCATTTGTTCCAGTTATCACCTCACTGGCTTTGCCAATTGCATGCTCCCTCTGTGAAGATGAGTACAGATGCTCAGTCCACCCTTGTACCTTTGCAATTCTCCTGTCATAGCTCATTGAGGTCATCATGCAAAAACCAAAGCCGTGGTTCCTCTTGCTGGCTGCTTTGTCACTACTGTGTTCCTGTAATGTCCTGTTGTTGTGGACAGTAGGATAAATCACTGTGTGCAAATGGAGACAAGGTATCTGAAACAATACAAAGTATCAGTATTGGTGCTAGCAGCTCTTCAAGAGAACCAGAAAGGTTCTTAAATTAAGTATAAAACTCTTCTCAGGCTGTAGTTTTTTTATTTGATTTTTTTTTATTTTCAGACTGAAGACTAGTTAGCTTTAGCAAAGGCCAAGCCAAGATCCATCACTGCCTCTTACCAAACAGAAAGAATGCTCCATAGAGGCTCCACATGTTTTGTAGCAGGATGCCAATGTGTCGCAGCTCTTGAAGTGGCCTCTTGCTATGAAACGTATTGCTCCACTATGGAGTATCCTCCCTCCCTTATCACTTGGTAATCTTTCTCATCACCGGAGCCAGCAAGAGCATCTCCCCCAAATGTATTTAGCACACATGGCAATTTTTAACCTACACTGATCACTGCATTGTTTAAATATTTCACTGCCAATGACATCATGGCTTTAAGAGGGTTAAAACAAACTTACAGCTGCAGTAGCAACTGTGAGCTGGTTTTAAAATGTATCAGCAGGCTCAGTGCCTTCCGATAGAAGTGCACTGGGCAGCTGAAGTGCTTTGTGATAGCAATGCATGTATGTAAGTAAATATTGATTTTAAAAATAATAAATTCTTATAGAAAATAAAATAAAAAACAAAAAAAGGACCCCTTGTCCCCTGTGTATGCATATACACTCACCGGCTTATTAGGTACACCTTGCTAGTACCGGGTTGGACCCCCTTTTGCCTTCAGAGCTGCCTTAATTCTTCGTGGCATAGAGGTGTTGGAAACATTCCACAAAGATTTTGGTGCATATTGACATGATAGCATCACAGGCCCAAAGTGTGCCAAGAAAACATCCCCCACACCATTACACCACCACCAGCCTGAACCGTTGATACAAGGCAGGATGGATCCATGCTTTCATGTTGTTTACTCCAAATTCTGACCCTACCATCTAAATGTCGCAGCTGAAATCGTACGATAATCACGGGTGATCAGGTGTATGGAAGGCGTGCGACCATTTCTACTGTCGCACGTCTTTTGTCTCCCGAGCAGGCTTGAAAACCCGCCGAGAATCGTACGATTGTCGGTGGGTTAGTGGCGTTCTCGGGAGACAAATGCCGCACGGGTCGGTGTGCGCAAGCACACACTGCCCGTGCGGCATTGGATTCATCACTGTCCAAGATGGGCAGATCGTACGAGCTTTTAATTACTTTACAACCATGGCAAGACGAAAGTCGTGCCATGGTTGTAAAGTGTATGGCCAGCTTTAGACATGCTTTATTTGGAGGTTTTAATGTCAGACTGGACAGGCTTATCAGTTTGTTGTAGAGAGATAAATGTAATCGATTTCCAGCAGAGAGAGTTTACATGTGTAGGAGGCAACATTTTGTACATGGACTTTACATACATCGTTCAAATGAGATGATAAATGCCTCTGAGGTAAATATTCTAGTCATTGAAGATTGTGTACATACTTGGCTAACGTTGGTGAGTCTATACACTACCATAGGTACTGTGAAACATTGCCCACTGCATGGAGATGGTATACATCATTCTATACTGTATTTAAATGACTAGAAATTAACTGACAGTTGTGTCTCCATACTTTCACTGTAGAATGCAGAACAGCTGAGAGAAGATGATGCAGATTTCATTCTTAACGATGGTGACCTTACATTGACTTATGGAGACACCACCATCACGGCCAATGGGTCTTCAGGCTCTCACACAGCCACCACAAGCTTAGATGGAAGAAGAACAAAAAGCAGTTCAGAAGAAGCACTGGAACGAGAACTTGGAGGAGACTATGAAATTACCAATAGAGGTACACGGCTAGTCTTTCCTCTTGAAGAGAATGCATGACCGAGAGAGGAAACGACAATGAAGGAAACATGTATGACCAAGTATGGTACCGGAGCATCTCAGGCCCCAGTGTGGTGAAGAGTTGGGTGCAGTTCACACACTAAAAAAACATAACCATTCTTGTGGTACTGAAAGTGGAAATTTTAAAAGATGACTTTCTTTTCTTATCAAATGTGACGACTGCAATTTTTTTAGGTATGGCGCACAAATTGCACACGTAACTTTGCTGCGGCCTTTTCCTTGCTTGTTCCTGTGTGTCCCAGTGAAAAGATAACCCAAATTTTGTTATCATATACTGAATAATGAGGGAAATGTGACTGCTTTACCCTCTGCTGTTGATGCAACAACTTTTATTTGTAGCAAGGAGCAACCTCTTTTGGAAAGTGCCTGCTGTTGAAAGAGCAAGTGGTGACATGGCATCTGGAAGAAGTGTTAATCCATTTTTTTACCATTCCTGTGAAGCAAAATATATAGATGCCGAAATGCATGACATGGACAGTTCACTTATAAGAGTATTTTTTCTTTGGGGCGGGGGGGATTTTGTAAATTTAGGTCAATGTGCGTTCAGTGAGTAAGCATGGCTGATAATGTGAAGTTGTGGTTAGCTGATATAATATTAGATTTTCATGTTTACGTCTTAAGCTGTAAAACATACTATGTACATTTACATGTTTAGTGTTACTCCTTTGTTACAGCACTGATTCCCTCCAGCGAAAAGACTACAAACATACTATATAGCCTGTTTCCTGACCTCTCAGACACATCCAATTATCTCATTGCACCAAAAAGGTAGAGTTTTCAGCCAGTTGAATACTTGCTATGCTGTCTGCTGGGAAGTTTATACTTTTTTAAATCGAAGTACAAATCGACCATACTGTATTCACGGTATGTGTCGGGCTTTCACATGGGCTTATCAGGAGAAGATCCTTGTACGGATCCTCTCTTGATCACAGCAGTACCGAGCGGATGTCATCACTGTGACATTTGTGTTCATACAGCAAGATGGAAGAAAAAACTGCAATTACGGGGCGCCATGACAGTCTATGGGGAATCGGATAAAAACGGACACGTGTGCGTTAACATCAGATTACTCCTGATCCGGCACGATCCGGTCTGGTGAAACAGAACACTGTTTTTCCAGACCTGGCCAGAGTTGGGGGTAACTGGGTGTAAACGAACGCTCGTCCGTTTACACGCGGCTGCTGGAAGACTTGCATTGTGCATCCAATCGGGTCTGCTGAAAAACTGACAGCTGGACCTGATCAGACTGGCCGTGTGAAAGGGGCCTAAATGGTGTTTGTGCTGACCAATGTGCATTATGGATGGATTAAAAAAAAAAAGGAACATGAACAAAGTATAACAATGTATACTTTAATGCTGAATGTGCAGTGCACGTTTGTGTGTGTGTACTGCTTTTTATGCATTACACTGTATTTTCACATTTATTTGTGTGGAGTTCTATAGAATTCACCATGCAATATGTGCATGTGCTTTTTACATTTATTTTGGGTGTTTCAGAATCACAGGTGTAAATAAAAAAATGTTAGGGCTGTGATTCCATATATACCAAGATCTCTGTTGGATAAATACATTCAAAAGTGGGTAAGGGTAAAAAACAGAAAAGCATGATGAAGATTTTTGTTGGAATGCTATTTCTAGTTTGCATTGATAAGCACTACATCAGTTTAGTGTAGAGGCCAGTGGGGAAATGCTCCTATGAAAAATGACAAGTGTGTTGTTTTATGCAAGGAAGAACTTATTTTACTCGTGTGTTGACATATTCCACTCTGCACTCTACATAATGACATACAGCCCTCATGTCATTCCCTGCCCCTAAATGAGCCTCCAATATAAAGTCCCCATAAAAGTCATACACAGACACACTAGGACCCATTCAGGTGGAAGCTGATTCATTTATTTACGAGAGCTATCCTGCTGTATCCTAATGGATACGTGCGGAAATACGCCCCAAAGAAGCTCCTGTACTTCTTTGGGCGTAAGGCTTTTTTCAGCGCGTCACAACACGCTGAAATACGCCCAGGTGGGATCCATGCCCATAGAACATAATGGGACTTGACTGTTTGAGCGTTTTACAGCACTTCGATCAGCGCTGTAAAACGCCCAGGTGTGAACCAGGCCTAAGAGTTGCATGCTACATGCAGATAGTGAATACAGAGAGGTGATAATACACTTTCAGTGGGTCAGCTGACGAGAATGTGTTGGCAGGTTTTTGTTTGCTTTATGTGGGTTTTGCATTCCCATATATCTATACTTTCTCGATTCAGGTCAAATACACACATGCATTCTGAATGGTCTCAAAAGTGTCTCAAACTATGTCAAACTGATGCCCTCGACACGAGCCCAAAGCCTGCCAGCATAGGTCCTTAGACTGCGGTTGCCAATGGCGATTGGGCATTTACCCAGGGACACTATCACCAAGCCAAAACTGCACTTTGTCAGCACAAAACTGACTGCGCTCCAAGCCTAAACCTTACCCTATTATTGAATGAGCTCAGAAGAAATCTAGCATTGGTGTCAGACAAAATCAGAAAATGTTTTATCATAACCAACAAATGCAATATGTCTTCCGCTCATTTGACAAAAGTTCTTAAAACAAACTGTAAACAATTTAAATAATCTTGTTTAAGGGCCGGACTTACAAATCAACCCATCAGCTTTTATTAGACGATTGTCTATCCAGATGTCTGAAATTGGAAATGTCTGTATTGATTGTCGATGGATAGATGAACCCTCCGCACACCTCACAGCAGTCCCGGCCTATACAAAAAAATGGTGCTCGCAGTGATGACCACGGCTGGCGCCGTGCAGACACAGAGTAGAGACAAAGATCACCAGCACTCAAAAGAGTGCTGGTGATCTTTGTCTCTACTCTGCATTGATTATAGCGTGCAGATTCCAACTTTTTCACTTTGCCATTTCTCCAGCACAGCTATTGAAATAAAGGGAAAATATGAATAGTTTTTGTGAATGGAGGAGGTACTGTTGTATGTCACAACCTCCCCTTGTCCAATCACAAAACTCCTTGCATTATGTGGAAAAAATACCAGACATTTTGTGAATAGATGAGGTGGAGAGTGAACATCAGAGTTGTAGTCCACCCGCAAATGTAAGCCTCAGTGCCAGATGTTCAGAGCGTAGTGTACGGGCTGAATGAAAAGTAAGGTTTACAGAATAACATTTACCGAATGCAGCAGCAGCCGCCGCCACACATGGCGCACACTTCATTGGTGGTAATTTATGTTTACATTGCAAATGTACAAACACTGTTTTTGCCAGGAGCACAGCTTTAAAAGTGAAGGAATCTCCCCTCTTAGACAAATATCACAGCAACAAATGTCCCCGTTAGAAAAAAAATGTCTCTATTCCTGTTCTGGTGACGGCTCGGAACTCTAGATTTTCCCTCACTAATGGTTACTGATGCAAATAGAGATTGTCAGTCTCCCCACTAGAGACTTCAACAGCAATGAAACCTCCGCAGAGCTCTTAACCCTCCCGCATTCTATTCAAAACTTTCCAAAGAAATGTGGCTTTAGATACCCTTTAAAGTAAATGTGTACTACGAGAAGTATGTAAGGTGCCACTGCCAACCTTTCTTTCTGACGGTGCTAGCTGCCTGGCTGTTTTGAGCTCTAAGCCCCATTCACATTCGTGTGGAAGCAACGCTGCACGCTTTTGTGCGTTGCATATAGGGCGGCCCATTCATTTCAATGGGCTGCCCTATGCATAACAATCACATAAACAAAGTTCCTGCACCTTTTTATTCAAAACGTGTCACACCAAAATACATGGGGGGGAATTTATCAAAACTGGTGCGGACAGAATCTGGAGCAGTTGCCCATGGCAACCAATCAGCTTCTCTGTTCAATTAAGCTTTGTAAATGAAAGAGAGAAGCTGATTGGTTGCCATGGGCAACTGCTCCAGATTCTGTCTGCTCCAGTTTTGATAAATTCCGCTCACTGTTTTTTGTAATTTATGTGTTTTGGAGCGATTTTACACACGTGAAAGTGCACGGTGCAGGAAGGTGCATTGGGTGCCATTAACAGTGAATGGCACCGCAGCACATCTTACAAAGTCCCACACATTTTGCCACGTGCATAAATGCACATCTTATTTTCTCGTCTGTCTCGGGTCACCGAGTTAGAGGATCTGAGAAGCTGAGACATTAAGGGAATTTGCATTTTTAGAAGGTGGTCAGCAATAGCAGCTCTTCCAGAACAGGTTTCCTTTCTGTGGATGTACTGTACGATATGCAGACTCTCTTAGATGCCACTTGTCTAATTAATGTAGGTTTACTTGGTTGTGTATATCTGTGAAATATCCCCAAAAAAGCAAATAGATAAAATAACTGAAGGCTCACAAATGACCTTTTGATTCTTTTCCCTTTTGGAGATATCGTTTCAATGGTAAATGTTCGCACGTGAACTCTGCTTCATATTTTAATGTATTCTTGGAAATAACAAATGTTTTATTTGGTTTTCATTGATGTAAAAGAGAAATCTAGAATATTATAATATACAAATGTTCTGGATCCTCACTTTGCACAATGTATGAGAGATGTTCAGCTGGCTGAAGACAGCTCATACTGTATTTACTAGCAATTCTTTGTGTCACATCCAGAGTGCTGTAGATTCCATTCCATGCTCATAAAAAGATGCAGAATACAGCGTTAGGGTTTGCGAGCGCATCCCCACAAGACCCCATTATTCAGTCTCTCAACAATGAACAAAATTGATTTACAGACAATCCAAACAGAGCCCCTATCTGTATACATTCTAATGGTGAATGGAAAAACTTCAACAGAGACATCATGTAGCCATTATGTTAAACTCATCCTTACATCACTGGCTGGTAGTATTAACAACTATGGATATTTAGTAAGCAATAATTTTCCATTACATTTGTGTTATGTATTTGTCCTGCTTTAATAGTTTTACAGATTCAGACTTTCTGATGTAATATGCACTTTATTGTATATATGTTGGGGCCAGTATTAAGAAAATTTAACAACCTGGCTGAATAAATTGCTGAAATGCAAAGATTTCCCCCGTGTATTTACCTGGCCTGTCTGTGTTGGTTGACTGTATTGCAAAGCTGCAAACAATATCAAACGTCATTTAAACACTCAATAAGTCAGAGTATTATCTTCCATTATACGTGACGGGGGATATAATAATAATATGCAAAATAAATTGCATTGATCTGGTTATAGATGATGCCTTAACTGTAGGTTGTATGGTTTGTCTCCACCATAATGTTGTGATTTTTGCTGTCTGGTAAGGTGTGGTGTATATATACTGTATATATACCATGTGACTTGTATTTTGACCACTTGTATAAATCTCTAGTTATATATTCTGGGGGGTTTTTGTAGAGATAAAAAAATTTTTTTTCTAAATCAGTGGTTTTTAAAGTTCCATGACCAAATTAAACCAAGTCACAGATGCGGTAAACCACTTAAATAAAAATCATCACCCCTAAAGGTGAATGTTAATATCTGTTGTGGCGTGGCCTGACTCACTCACTCCTCTTGCTGATGCCTTCTTGCCGATTTATCTATGGTGTTTCTCTTTACCATCAATCTGTATTATCACTGCAGTGAATTAAACAAGCACTTAAGATGGTTTATTTTTCTCTCACAGCAGCTTCTTGGCTGCTTATTGCTCTGCCTGACTAAGGCCTCCTTCAAACAGGCAATAAAACTACGCAAC